TTGATCTACTAAATATAAAACACTGTTGTAGAACTGGCATTCAGAAACATTATTTTATATTCCACTGGTGTACTGCATTAAACAGTGAGGACGGCTAGCCGTACCAAAAGCAGATCTTCATAATGCGAAAAGACCAACAATTTCAAATGGTAGAGTAAACAATTTGTACTCGGAATTCAGTTTAAGTTACTACGATATAGGGGAAAAACGTGAAAAAAGTCTTTAATCAAACATAAATGTTCGAATCCAGTGGGACCACCGATGTGATGCTCTACCAAATAAAATGAATCTAATGCATCGTAGCAACTGCCTTTCTCATAGCTTAGTTGATTAACTGTCAATGGACCCAGAACTATGTTTTCGCACCATCTCCACTCACCGTTGAATAACAATTCGTCTACGGTTCCAGCAAATCGATGTGACAGAGAGAAACTGGTGTATAGGAAGAGCTATGCTGTTTCACCTTCATTAGATGGGGTCGGAGAGTTGAAATGGAGATGCACTCTTCAGCTACCACAGTGGAAAAAGAGTTAATAGTGACTGATGACTGATGTTACGATTACAATGAACAAGACTCAGTTACAAATATACCCCTACATGCTACTTTATCACATGGGAAATCAGTCTACAGTGAAATTTGATATTTGTTAGACTGAAGTATAGTTGAACTAGAAAATTGTTGCATAACATTATATCAACAAATAAGAATAATTGTATTGTATCATAATTTCTATCTGTTGATATAAGCCTACACATGTAAACAATGTTATGACTGTTTAGAGATTAGAAGAATTTTTTTACTGAATAATATGAACTAGTTGACTGAAATGATGAAAGTGAAATGGAGTGTGGAGTGTAATGTTTATTCTGCTGAATCAATCGACGTTTTCTCAATGTTGTTGCTAGCTGTAATCCATCGATATATATATATATATATATATATATATATATATATATATATAGGACCCGCTGACTTATTGTTTACGTGGTAGCCATGAATCGTGAATGTTCTGGGTTCATTGCTTGCATGGGTCGGGATGCTCACCGCTAGAAAATCTCATGATAGGAGGAAACTGGTGTTCAACGTTGCCAGATTTTCACTGGATCTCCAACTCGTGTCAATCCGTGATGAATATCAAGTTGAAATCACTATTTTATTAACCTTGTTGTGTGTAGGCAGCCTAGCATATGCCAATTATTTTACACAGACAGCTCAACACAAAGGCGTCTTAGCCTTATGAAATGCACATTTGGGACTGTAACAAAGAATTCTGTGATGACGCAATCATCTGGTTGGTCAATCGAGATGACCTTGTAAGTGGGTGGATAATTGAATTTGCAAAATCGAAACAAGGTAAAATAGGCCTAGATATTGGATATTACTTACTACTTGCATGTTAATATATAACAATATAAATGTACGTGTGTATTTGATTTCAAAACAGTTATCAGTGAAATCGTGTTAGTGTTAGTGGTGTGTTGTTCAGCAGTGTCAGTGTCGATCGAATAGCTGGCAGTAATTGAAGTATGCTGCACTTATTTCGTTGTCTGTTAGAACTCATGAGAAGTATGTATTCAAGTGAATCTGTGACATTAACATTATGAATGCATCTCACCTATGGTTAAATATGTGTCATCGATTCTAGTGATTATGAGTTACAGGTGTGGTGAATGAATGGAAATATATGACTTGGTGTTCAGGATAATTTGTGAAAGTGGTAGAAATGTTGTTCTATTGCCGTAATGAAGAGAATCATTCGGCACATTCGAGTAAATGATGTCTATTTTTACTTGTTTTGCATAAAGCTGTAGACTAGCAATTTCATCGACTTCAGGAGATCACTCCCACCAAACTTATAGATCCTTATATGGTTCAACTCAACAGTAGATCACTTCATTCATTCATCCATTCATTGAGTTCTCAACCTGATCCAACTATGCTGGAATCTTCCCTGCTTCCACTGATAATAAATATCATGATACTATACTACTTAACTGGTGGAGAATATTTATAGCTCAGTTGGATGATCTTGGTGGTGTTGTGTACTGTGAATTGGGTGGTTTATTCTTCAAGCTTTCATTGTCCTCCTAGACAACAACATAAGCAGCACTGACTTCGGTGTGAAGTGAGCAATCTGTATTTGTCTGTGAGTGATTCAGTAGTTTGCACTGACCAAGTGGTTTGTCACTGGTTGTTTCTGTCGATATGATTGTTATGCTACTGTGATTCAGTAATTTGCCTGTTCATTGCTTGTCTTGTTTTCGTGTGACCTTGAAGCCGTTTGTCACTTCTCCTATCTATGTGTATACACTATTGATTGGAGTGATTTTGAAGGTTGTCCTTACAATAGTTGAGATGACGAATCACCTTGTGGAATATTGAGTTTGTAGGTAGTTGTTCTCAAAGTAGACGAATGTTGTTGGTCATCTAACCAGTTGTTAGAGTGGCCTGTAATGTCACTGCTCACTGAGTGATCCTGATAGTTCAGTTCTGCTTGAAGTTAGTTAGTTGGTTAGTGCTGATACTTTTGTTCATGAGACCAATGGAAGCTTGACGATTAAACCAGTCATCTAGGGAGAAGACAATAGCACTAAGAATATTCGTTTTGATTTGGTTTTCCCCAATGGAAAGGAAATGTTGGGTGAACTCTTTATTTATTAATGGATATTAAAATGGTCAAGTGATTGAGTCAACTACAACTTTCCCTTTGAAGATAGTTTCCTATTTGATGTTCGACTAGATGTGTGTTGAATTCACATGTGTGTTATTTGTGGTATTGAAGGGATTTGCAATGCATGCATGATTTCACTGACTATGGTGGTTGATTTATAACCGGTTAATGTATATGGTGGATATTGAGATTTGAATAGGGAGATCGAGTTGCCCTAAATTTTGTACTTGTTTGCGTTGAGCAATAAGTGGAATCTGGTAGCGTGAGTGTATTTGTTTGTTCTCCTGATGGTTTGATGATGTGTGAAATCCACAGATCAGCCTGACTGGTTTATAACTAGTCGGTGGTGTATTGAAATAGTTAGTATCAGAGATCATATGCTGTAATCTTTGTTGAGGGAGTAGTTTCCAACGGAAACCCTATTGAGACTATGATCGTTGGTCAGTTGACAAACTACCTTTTAATAGTCGGTTTGCTTATGACATCAATAGTGACATTATTGTATAGCTCGCTTCGTTCAACAACTATCGATTGACGCCTCTTTCATCCATTTACATATGACTTGTAGTTAACATGGAAATAATCGCGTGTTCAATGAAATCAGTCCATTATCTCACTTTTGTCCTTGAAATCGGTTGTTTCATCTTCACAAATTGTGGTGGATTGTGGTGGGGCAGGTAATTTACTTATGCATATACAGGTGAATCATATTGCCTGACGGATGAGGGGACAATAAGCAGCAGATGTAAACTGTTGCAGGGGTGGGTTGAATTGCTTGACTAATCATGTGAGTAGATTGAATATATAAGACTAAGCAAATAAATTTCGGGCCAATCATGTACAAGGTCATCGTTAAAACTGAATGATGAAATAACGTGCTTAAGATAACTATAGTCAGACGAAGTTATAACAACCACTTTGAGGATGACTTGTGCAGATCTCAAAAAGTAGTCGCTTAGTTCAGTGTCATCAGTTGACACGTTTCTCTCTCTTACATACGCTAAATCATGAATTGTGTTGTATTTGTAACATCTACTTACAGATAGACATATTTAGGATAAAGTTATCAGGTTGTGATTCGAACTCTGAAAACAGTCAGCTTGACAATTTAACGAATGAATATTGTATTCAAGAGAGCTACAATGGCATAGATACTCAAGAATCGACTGTGGACAGTACTGAAGTAGACCTACTTTTCCGCCCAATTTCAAGTTGTTTCCATCAGTCAACAAGTGATTCACGGGTATGTAAGGTATAAAACATCACCTTGGGTCACCTTCATTTATATCCACCAATTCACCTGCACCTGTGGAGCTGCTTATCTAGATCAAACAATACATGTTCTATTCAAACGTATCTTCGAACACTATTCTTCATGAGTGTCTTCAGCCTCTGATTAACTCTAGTCACTCCGCTCTACTAGAATCTTCCTTCAAATTCATTTATATAAAGTCAAATCAAACATTTCAAAGAGAGTGGAAATTCACCACCTGAACACAGTAGAAGCCTTGGTAATTTATTGGCTCAAGCCTGATCTGTGCATTAAAAAAAAGAGAGATACATTCAATCTCTTATTTTACCTTTGATCATAATCTCTCTAAAACATTTAATTTACTAATTTATTGTGAACCAATTACAAATTTTTGATGATTTTATTTTAACCTATTAACTATTGATGGACATATGATTCTGCTGTAACTCCAAAATACATATGAACAGCTGTTAGTTGGATGAAGTCAAGCAACAGGAAGCCCTAGACTTAGGTTTCGTGCTTGTTGGAGCTCAACAGAAAAGCGTTTCTGCAACCCCAACGAAACTGACTCCCAATCCAAGATTCAACCCCGCGCCATCCAGTGTTGTTCCCTTAAAGTTAATCGCGTTGCGAACGTCATCCTTCTCGACTAGATACATTGATCGGGTAACCTCCAGCGATCAACCAATGTACAAGTGTACAGTTTATGAAAATGATTCTTAGAAAGGAAGATTTTCTTCGCTGACATTTCTTTCGTTAATTTTTCATGATCTAACAGGGATATTTCAATAGTTTTCCATAGTTGTCCACCTGATATCATTCTGTGAACAGCATTATCTTGAAACCCCTTCAATCCTTCATATAACTTCCAAATCAGTTTATGAAGAACTTATAATAACAACTTTATTCTCCGGTGTTCATTCATAATTTGTTTGATAACAAACATTTGATCAGTGTACACAAAATATTCACCAATTAAAATTGTCTTTAGTTTTTTTATAGAGATATTTCAAAACACTATGGAATAGTATAAAAACTAGTTGAACAGTTGAGAAGGAATGTAAATCTGTGCAAAAATGAAAGTGAATTCACTATTCTGTAAGTTTTTTTTATACTTTGATTAGTCTTTTAATGCTGAGTGACGATTGAAGATGAAATGGAAATTTGCACCGTGATGAGACTTAAGCCAGTGGCCACCGGACCTCCGGCTCGATGCTTCACCAACTGAGCTATGAGATCTGACTGCTGACCAGATTTCTTTTTCATTTCAATCACTATGGGTTTTACCCGACTACCATGTGAATTCGTGATGTGTTACTACCGCGTCTGACGGATTTAACTCCAACGTTGAAATCTTTGACAGTATCTGAGTTACAGAAACCTTCATGTAGACTTTAAATCTGATTTGTTTAGGGCTGCAATTATTTAAAGCCTTAAAGATGTAGAATAAGTCTAAAAACCATTGAAAACAAATGAACAAGAAGTAAACGGTTGATTTGAGTTAGGAATTCATCAAGATTGTTGACTGATGATGGATAGGGGCTGGTGGTGGAATCCACAGTTTACATTTCGTTTGTTTGGGACTCGTCAGTTGGATGTGCCTGCTTCTCAGTGAGGGAAGTTGTTCCCATCGGGACTTGAACCAAGGACCGACTGCTTCAAACACCAAAGGGTTACCCACTAGGCCAGTGAGCCATTCTAGTTCTTCCTCATACGGAGAGAATAGTATAGTCTTCCATGTGAAAGATTGTGAATCTCCCTCCATTACTAGCCACTTTCCATCATTAATGCCAAAATTCAAAATAGCGACTATATCACGGTATCTGTATAAGAGTTGATCAGTTCGATCCATTCATTGATGGAGATTCCCAGGTTATAACATGGAAAAGTATTTATTCTCAACTACTTGTGAAATTTAATCCAACACATTTATGTTTCACTGTATGTGTATATTACTTTTATGACTAAATGTTATGAGAACAATCAAGAACCATCCACCTGAGCTACAAATATTCTCCACTATTTCAAAGTTATGAGAACTGGTTTCATAGCAGCATTGAAGCATTTTTTCACAATTTGGTGGTCTAATGTGAATCATTTCGCCTACATCAATGAACAAGTGAACCAGAAACAAGCTAAACATCAACTGATGTGCTCAGAGTACTCTAATCCACCTAGAAAGTATTGTTTATTTGCATGAATGCTCCTCAATTAGTCAAATGTTGACATCTAGACGAAATCATCTACTAATCTTGAAGGTTATTTTATGTGTGACATTTATCACAACTATTCAATTTACGGAATAAATTTGAACAAGATAAAAGGAATGAGATTTGCAGAAGAGAAAGGTTTCATTCCTGTCTCATGGATACTCAGTAGCTTCAAACAATCTCAAATTGTAATGGTCAAAATAAACAAAAGTTAGTATATAGTTTCGCTTTAGATTGTCTACCAATGATAAATCTTTGTAAAGTAAAGTGTTGTCATTTCATTCCACAATGCTCAAATTGACACTTATTCCTCTAGATGTTTTACCTGTTTTCAAGACAGAATCATATGATTCTGCCCACGAAGTCTAAGCGATGAAGCTGGACGTGATTAGTCTCCCTCGTAATTAACCAGTCTCCTTTACTCAATCCATGCACACACACACACACAATTCATGCACAAAGTCAAAACCTACACAACACAACACAAAGTTGGTCACTTATCATCTAACACTCCAGAAGATATGATTCTCCTCCATATATATATACAACTGAATTACCTGCCTCAACACAACGCACCATTATTCATGAAGAAGATGAAACAAAAAAATGACAAGCACAAAAAACGACAAAGTGAACAATAAGTGATTGGTTTCACTCAACATGCAGTAATTACTTCTGAAATAACATACCTGATACATAAATGGATGAGAGAAGAGAAGTCAGTCGTAAGCCGTTGAACTCAGCAACCTATAAGATACTCTCACTAACTGAGTTGAAATGGAGTAAATTATATAATGAATGACATTTATCCGAGATTCACTTCATCCACCAAATTCTAACTGACATAACAACGTGGCCACATCCATCTACCAATCAGCAACATCATTAAACACGTCAATAAGCTGCAGAACTCTATACAACTCGTCCAGTAACCAATCCTCAAACAACTAACAACTAAATCAACACAAAATGAATACAGTTTCCACGTTGTTACTTAACACGGACTGGTATCTACCTGGGTTTCTATGCTATTCACGTTCACTTCCATACACATGAATACCAAATTGAAACTGTTACCACTCCATACTCAACTTAAACTCACCTCATCCAACTCATGCATCATACTGTCTAAAACAAGAATAAGTGTTCCAGTAAAAACTTCCTCCCTTGTACCGATATTTTCATGAGGAATCTCAATATTCACAGTTATATCCTTGATATGTACGAGGCCAGTTGACAGGATATCCTGACATGCATAAATATCAATTGTCTTGTAGGGCGGCATCAGGTCATTCTGAACACCTTCACAAGAAATCTGAGTATATCTGGCATGTGTTTCGTATCTGTCAGATGTGAAGCAATCTTCAATTATTAGTCTGTAGATAATTCCAATTTGATGATAAATAGTCCTGTGGTAAAATACATTGCATCAGCTCATATCGTTTAGTTGGTGATGAAGCCTGAGCTCAAATACAAAAGACACATCCAAGATTTGCCAACCTGTATCATTTCTATTTCCAGCCGGTGAGACATTTGATTAACTGTTAAAGGGTGAGTACACTACACTGTAGTTTGCTCTGTCCTATTATGTGACTACGAGACGTGACTGTTAGCGGTAGAAGATATGAAGAGATTACAGGTTTCTGAGTACAAATGTCTTCGTAGCACAGTTCACCGAAAGTGGAATTACCGCGTAAGCAATGTCAAATTCAGATGAAGGATATTTGACAAGGAATTAAGTCACTCAATGAAATTGTGGGCTTCCAACTATGAATGTATCTTCCACATGTGTTGCGCATACCGAGGTACCAGAAATAATCACTGCATGTTGAGTGAAACCAATCACTTATTGTTCACTTTGTCGTTTTTTGTGCTTGTCATTTTTTGTTTCATCTTCTTCATGAATAATGGTGCGTTGTGTTGAGGCAGGTAATTCAGTTGTATATATATATGGAGGAGAATCATATCTTCTGGAATGTTAGATGATAAGTGACCAACTTTGTGTTGTGTTGTGTAGGTTTTGACTTTGTACGTGAATTGTATGTGTGTGTGTGCATGGATTGAGTAAAGGAGACTGGTTAATTACGAGGGAGACTAATCACGTCCAACTTCATCACAAACTGCTTACACCAATTACAACTAAGCAATTTGTCAACCAAACTTTGAGAAGGTTAGCTCAAGAATATAACATATGTTCACCAATTTTGTCATAATTTTTTAGAAGCTTTCATTGTTGATTCTTACGATAGGCGCTGTTAGGAGCTGGTTTTCCTGGGTAATCACTTTACCAGAAAGTGATGTATTTTGGAACTGAATTGATGTTTAGTCGCCACTTGAGATTTAGAGAGAACTGATGGATCTTCTGTTTTAAATGTAAGAAAGTATACTAATTAGAAATTAACTTTTTAACAAGTTTATGTTCAAAGAAGTTTTTCGTTATGAAGCAATACCACTAATGCATCATTCACACATGGACGCATCTGGCGTACTAAGTACTCTGACCAATCACGTTACCAAACAGGAAATTTATGCTGGTGACTTCTTTTTTGTTTCACGGTATTTATATATATGCACGATATGATGCTACAACGTAAGACCTTTAAGCGATAGAACAATTACTTCTCAACACAATACTCAGCTAACAGCAGAAGAAGAAAATAACAGGATTCAAGGTATATTTACTTCAACTGAATAGTGTGATTATAGCTCTAAGTTCATTCCTTTCTCTATCTTTTAAAAGCCTTGGCTAGAGAGAATAAAATAGCATATTAAAAGTGTAAAATTGACCAGTTAACGTTTAGTATCTTAAATCGCAGTAGAAATAAGTAACACTGCATGAAGCGAAAAAAGGCACGAAAACAAGGTTTGAATTTTATAGTGAAAACATACACATATCACAAGTTAAGGATTAGACATCCGTAGCAACTTCAGTCATATTCTTTAGCCACGGATTACAAACACCCCATAGATTGTGGAAAGTAAAACGTTTCAGTGTTCACTTCAGACTGGAGGTCAATGATTTTGTAAATTTAAGTCAATGGATGATTTATTGCCATTAACGTCAGTTTACAGTATATATTGTACACTTTTTATGAATACAATTTCCTCGATATTTATCATAGTAAGAGGGACTTGAGGGCAAACATTTTCCCGTGAAATTGCACAATTTCTGATCATAAACTAATTGTATAGCTTACACCAATACACTCATCAGCTATAAATTTCCGCTTATGATACAATTATATTAACCAATTATATTACTCCTAAAAATAATTTACCTCTTGTTTCATTGTTAATTTTAAGTTATCAGTTTAACAGTTTTGCTACTTGAGATCTGTATCCATTGCTGCTATGCACAAGAGAGAACTTTTTCAATTGATGAAAATGCAGGGACTTTCTAAAAGATGGAGGACCATTTCAGTTCATATCTGGCAGTTTGTATTATCATCGTATACCGTTTATTTATTGGACGGAACAGGCGACAAGATTGAACAATATCGGGATCTCCGTTGTTTACAGGTAGGTAATAAAGCTATGAAGGTTCTTCATTAATCATGCTGTTTCAAAATAAAGTTCCATTCCATGGAGTTATCATTGCCAAGATGTCAGCGTTTGTTCATTTGATGGTGACAGGGATGTGGAAAGTTTTCTGAAGATGTTGGATGATATGAAGATGCTTGTCGTATTGAAAATTGGCCCATATGCTGAAGATAATATTCAGCTGGTAAGTACCTCATCGGATGTTTGATAGATAAAGGAAAAACGACGGGGTCTGCAGAATAGACTGACACGGCTTTATTTCGTAGAATTCGTCAGTTAACACTCCAAAATTACAATGGCTATTAGCACAAATTTATATAAAGACTTCCTCTGAACTAACTGAGTGCCAGCGAATAAAGCAGTGCAAAGTTAGAGAATCCCAAGTGCTTAGAAACGAATAATCATTAGTTGTCCTTCAAAATCATGCCTAGTGCATATGCTGCTGTATGATAGAAGGTTCGGGAGTTGCACAGAAGGCGGGTAGGAGTGGGGTAAGAAATATTTGCCAAAATATTACATAACACGCAATGAAATGATATCGATACGACTGAAATCGATTCAGTGGGTTGAAACCATTAGATGAGTAAAATAAACAGTTGGGTAGTTCAGTTGCAGGTTTATAGGATTTTATTTTTAGGGTAGTATTCACCACGAACTGATAGCAGTTAGGGAAGCATAAAGATGGATGTCACGAAGCCATAACCTGTGGGGTTCACCAAGTTACAAGTGAAGCTAATGCCAATGGAAGGCTTCGGTGGATAGTTGGGGTAAACCGGGAATTAAAAAAAGTTTGAAAATGCGGACCTCTGAATGACTAACGTGTTCGCCATGAAACGTGAAGGTTCTGAGTTGGATACCTGTTATGGTCGTGGATGCGTATTGCTGAGTAATCCCACACTGGTGTGAAACAGCTTCCTAGTTGCCCGTGGTATTCAGTAGTTTCCTACATGATGTCAGTCTGTGATGGATACTACCTTAAAGTTATGTAGCTGGTGTCAAAAAGATCAAATTATAGTCATCACAGAAGTACAAGACTGATCATACCGTCTTTCTCTATACAGAGATCCAGCTGGACGCGTTTTATGGCAATCACCTCCAAAACACAAAGTAATTCAGGCATTTGCTGTATGTTTATTATTTTAAATCACGTAATCTATCAACTTGATGTCCTGTATCTATGTGGTGTCTGCTTATTCCACTGGTTAGAATCTTACTTCCCTCAAGGCACAGATTCTTCAAGATATACTTAAGAAACCGAGTGGTTCTTCCAATGTACTTACTCTCGCAAGTACATGTGAATTTATGAATACAGTTGCAGGTCAAATGTGAAGGTTATTTAGCCAATTTGGACTGGTTCAGTGAGTATGCAGTATTATATACTGATACAAGTTTAGCTGTAGAAAAGCTTTTTCTTACTGTCCCTTTGATTCTTGTGTCTTATGAACGCGTTGAGCGTAAACCTCAGTATGTTTAGCATGCGTTTCACTGGCACCTGTCAAATGTAAGATGAGGCTCTAGGACTGGTCTGCCGCAACCAATCCTAGCTTAATGTTAAGGAGTGAAGTGGCGGAATGTGTTGACCACTTCACTTATTTGAGAAATGAAACAGTTACAGTTTTCGACCATAGACATCTTCTTAGCATTGCTCGTGTTTGATGGAATCACTGTGTGAGCAATGTTGAGGTCAGGTGAAAAGCACTATGCAAGACAGGCAAATCAACTGATGAGGTTGTGAACGTTAGTCGACTGGGATGACTTGGACATACATCGCGCATGCAAAGACACCGCCTGCCGCGACGTACTGTGCTAGGGGAAGTTACATAGGATGGAAGACGGTTCAGGCTGACCAAACCAAGATATGGCACCAGCTGATGAAGTCCCTTGCTGTTGGCTTGAGCCATGTGGGCAGATGTAGACTGCCTAGTCAGGGGGTCCTCAACAGGATAGGAATCAGTGATTCCTTGGCTTGAATATTCACACTTACTCCTATCTTCAGACTATTTACTCTCTCATACACCTTTGTCTACTTCGATTTGACTTTTTCTATCCACCTGTTCTGTGAAGTGAGGCAAATTGAGTTGATGGACCTATGTACGTCATTCTACGTTGATTTTGTCAGCGTCAGTCAGTCTTTTGTCTATTCTCTTGTATATTCCTTCTCCCTTGAATATAAGATGAATAAAAACCTTCTTCTCATAAATAGTTCTGTGCTCGTTTCTCTCAAACTGTTCTCTCTCTGACATATTATACAAATTATTAATGATTTTACTGTATGCCTTAAGATTAGGGATTTTCTAATTTTGAAATATCTTATAGGCTAACAACCACTGTACTTTTGGATTGTATGCTACAGCTGAGGAGTGTTGGTCAAATAAAATGATGATATCATTTTAATTTGAATAAAACAAGAAGAATAATAGTTAAGCTAAATTAGCATACATGTATTTCATGGATTCTACTCAGCTGCTTAATAACCTATAGAGTATGATGCTCATAATAAAAAGAAATATGTTATACAACATACTTCACAAACCAACCAGAATATTTCGATTACAGTGGAAGGTAAAAAAGATTGAGTGACTATAGTAGGACAATCTAACAACTGCTGAGATACTTAGTATCAATATTATAACCTATAAGAAACCATTAAAATTCAGGACCAGACAATTCTTACGAGATAAAACAAAGAACTGATGACCTACATATTGAAGAGGATGGAAAAACGGTTAGTTTTTATGTAACAAGTCTGTATGCTTAAATAAGAATCAATATGGCACTGGAGGCAGTCAGAAGTCAACTAAATATTGACTCAGAACTTATAGAACTAAGATATCAGCTGATGAGATCATTTGAGGAAACAGTTTGGCCTGACCTTCACAGCCTTCGAATTTCATGACGAAATATGTAGACAAACAGAAGGAGTTGCAATGGGATCACCAATATCCCTGATCGTAGCAGATATATTTATTGATAGTTGGGAAGACATGATTTTCCAAGCATTTAATCCTGCATCTAAGATATAGTGGGGATGTGTGGATGACACATTTACTCTGCTAAAATCGGAATATATCGACAGTTCCCTCATACATACAAACTCAACAGTTGATGTAATCCAATTCACTTACGAGATAGAAAATGAACAAAGAGAATTACCTACGTTAAATTAAAGGATAAAACGAGTGACAGACGGCCACCTACAGGAAACCGACATATTCTAACAGGTATTTAGACCTAAAGTCATCTCATCCACTTGGTTTCAGTTAAGGCAGGTTTAGTTAAATGCCTAAATAATAAAACTGGAAAACTCACCAGTCATTGTAAGGACTGAAAGAAAGAATTCAAACATACAAAAGAAGCGTTAATAATTCATAATTATCCTCTACCGTTTACCAAAACATTTGTACGAACAAGCAAGAAACAAAATACGAATACAAATAATGGCGAAAACAAGAGTGGAAAACAGTTTAAAGCCTCAGCTGTGTCACCATATAAGGAGGGTACATATATACGTAGGATTCTCCACAAAGTTGTAATTATTTTATCATATTTATTTATTTTTCCCTTGGGTTCTTAGTGGAACATTGGGCTTCATTAGCATGCCTCCACTGCACTCTCTTCACTGCAGCCTTTTCAACCTAGCTCCACGACTGCCCGTAAGCTTTCATTTCTTCCTCACATGATCTCCTCCATATCACCATTGACGCCCAGCTCATCGTTTTCCCTTTGGATTCCACTCGAGAGCCTGTCGTATGATGTCTCCGAATGGTTTTCTCAGCGTATGCCCGATCCAATACATCTCCACTTTCTTCTGTACATTTGTTGGGCGATGGGTTCTTGGTTGGTTCATTGCAGCCAGCCTGCCTGCAGAGTTCCCTCCTTGCTTATTCTTATTACTCTGGCCATCTGATCTCCATCTTCAGTATCGACTGAGCGTAGGTGGCAGCTGTTGATGTAATAAATGTCTGCAGTTTGTTGGAAATGCTTTCCGTGATGCGTCAAGTCTCTCAGCCATCACATAAAAGCACTGACTTGACTGACATTACTGTTGAAAATCCGCATCTTGTTCACACTTTATGCTGAGTGCAGTGCAGTGCAGTAGATCTCCACACTGGTTTCAGGTTAATGAAGACCTGTCTTGTTGCCTTTCCGATCCTGGCTTTGACATCCTCATCTGTGCCATCGCCACCGTCGCCTGTATTTGAAACGATGCTGTCTAGGTAGGTGTGGGTGAAACAGACAACTTCCTTTAGATTCTCCCACTGATGGTGATTGGTGCTTGTTGTTGTTGTTATTGGTTGGATATCTTCATCACCTCTGTCTTCTATACGTTCACCTAAAGGAAGTTCCGTCTTTCTTCGTTGCCTCGTCTCTTCTGTCAACTTGTTGGTTTTCGCCTGTAGATCTTCGAGTTTGTGTGACAGGACATTAGACACAAATCATCATCGGCGGAGAAATCCAAATCTTCTAGGCTCTTTGCATCAGTCCAGCCAGCGTATACCCCTCTTCTCGCTCCTCACTGTTTGTTACATGATCCAGTCGAGTCCAGTCAACCACAATCAGAAAGATCATGGTTGATATTAGACAGCCTTGTTTTACTCCTGTGTTCACTAAAAAGGCATAACTATGCTTTCCATTGTAGATCACTTGGCATGTAGCATCATATAACATAGCATATAGCTGTCGAATGAGGTTAATAAAGGTTTGTGGTATTCCATAGCGTTGAAGCAGTTTCCAAGTTATTTCTTCGTCGACGCCTCGATCGAAAGCCTTTCGAAAGTCGATGAAGTTGAGGTTGAGTTGAGTTGACTGCCATTGTACGCTCTGTTCTATGGTGATGATGTGTACCGTCGCGTTGTAATTTGATCCTCACATGGTTTGTTCTTCCTGAAGCCAGTCAGCCAGCCAGCCAGCCAGGCTGTTCCGGTAGTAATCTTGAATCCAGCACATCCTTTAGTCTCTCCGGGATGATGCGGCATAATATTTTGCTTGCTGTGGGTGGACAGGCATTGGAGCATGATTCTGCGCCATTTCTTGCAAAGCCTCAGATCTCCCTTCTTTAAGAGTTTGAAAAGGTATCCCTTCTTCCAATCAGTTGGCAGGTTCCTTTCCTTCCTTCCTCTCAAACCTTCTGCAGTAGTGGTGTGAGCATGTCTGCTGTTGTCCCTGCGTCTGCTGTCAGTGCTTCAGGCGGGATTCTATATAGTCCTGTTGTCTTCCCTCATTTCAGTAACTTTATGGCGTTCAGGACTTCACTTCTGCTTTTGTCGGAGGGCTTGTCCTAACTGATTGTTCTGTGGGTGGGCTGTTGGTGATATTTCGGGACGGCTTGCAGCCGGTGGTGGTGGTGGTAGTAGTCAATTCAAGAGCTTTTTGAAGTGGTCAGTTCATTGTTTCCTTCGTTTATCCTTTTAGACGTTAACTAGCTTTCCTTCACTATCTTTAATTGGTTTCATCTGCGCTGTGTTGATCTCTACACTCCAACATAATAACCTAGTTATTTGATACAATGTTGTCAGGTCTCTCCTACCAGCAGTCTGTTCTGCTTCACTTGCCAATGTGTCATAGAAGTGTCTGTCTTTTGTCTTTGTGCACACTCTTATTCACTTCTTTGTCCACTGTAGTGTTTTATACATTGTACTCAGGTCCTCTTTTCGTTGTTCATCCCTGCACTGCACTGCACTCGTTCATCTTCTGCTTCACCATCTTCCTCTCACTCCTCTGTCAGCTTCCATATGTCCATCGAGACCCACTCCTTGTCGTGTTTCTTCTTCTTCCTTCCTGGTACGGTTATGCAGGTTTCTTTCCACATCTCTTTCAAAGAGTTCCAGTGTCATCCACACAGGTTTCTTCAGGGATGTTTCTCAATATCTCCCATTTTGTTCTGATGACTGACTGACGTGAAGATGTCCTCTGTAGTTTCGTCCTCCAGTTTAGTTTCTGTTCTGGGTGTTGAACTTCAACTGTGGTCTATCATCACCAGCTTCTTTGAAAGCTTTCAACTTGATTATGAAGGTAGCTTTGTTGCACTAGATAGTGAAGTGAGTGGTGTGAACTTGCATCTGCTCCCCTTCTAGATCTGATCTTGTGTCCAGTAAGCTGCGTCTCCACATTCTTCACATTGAGATGAAGTCGATCTGATTTTTAGTGTAGTGTGTCAATCTGGTGAAATCCATGTCAGTGCCTTGTGAATATCCTTTTGTTTGTACACACTACCTCACTCCAATCACCAAATCGTTGAATGCTCAGAATTCTGCAAACAGTTCTCCATTCTCGTTCATCACCTCACTGAGTGCTTCTTGCCTCATGATGAGTTCTCTTCTTGTGTTGTCTGCTCCCAGTTTGGCATTCATGCCACCCCACCCATTAGAATTTTGATGTGACCAACTGGTGTGTGGTGGGGTCTTGTCCAGTGTTGATTGCAGTTGTCTGTAGAATTCCTCCTTCTTTTCTTGATCAGCATTATTTGTAGTGTAGGTGCGTAGCATTGTATGATTGTGACCTTCCTTCCTTTTGAGTTGAATCTTTCTGTCATGATGCTGATCCTGAAGGAGGAGATTGGTTCCCATTGCATGGAAGAGAGCCTTCGATGCTGTTGGCGACATCATGATAGCCACTCCAGAACTCAGTGTACTCATGGTTGTCGTTTGGGTGAGAATATCGGAGTAGATTATTGATTCTTTGTATGATAGTTTGAAGAGTCCACTGCATTCCATCTGGTGATTCGTCGCAGATCCCTGGCACTTCTATGCTATATCTCCTCATCTCTTTTGCAATGTAGGCAGCCTTGCTAGCTCCACATGTGTTGGATGTTGGCCACTTCGATGAAGAAAGATTCAGTAACCAATCTCTCCCTCTCCATTTAATTATATTGGACTTAACTACAAGGTTGGGAACTTGTCCACTCTGGATTGTCTGAATGAAGAGTTAGTCTGATACACACAGACTGACTTGGAGGGTGGATAGGTGGTTGAACAGCAGAGGCCGAGTATCCAAGAAATGTATACATGCTAGTTCTGCTACTATCGTTCTTCTTGTTTTGCTGAAATTCATGGAAGAGGAGAAATGTATACAGTTCCTAAAGAAATCATTTTATTCTGCAAATCTAATCCTTCCTGTCTAGTTCAAATTTATCTAGCTATCTAAATGTATGATACATGCAAATAATGCAATGTATTTATCTTCTTATTTCAGGGTGGATTACCGCCATGGTTGTTTCATTTAAACGAAAGCATGAATATACGGTTATTAGATCAAGGTAGATGTATTTTTATAGTGTGTAGCATTTTCTACAGTTCTACGTCAAACCTTACACCATCAACTTATACTTATTCAATCTTAATTCTGTCAGAGCAAAATCAGGAGATTTATCTAAGAATGGATTCCAGCACCTATCAGCCTGATCATTCCAAAATAGTGCTGTTTCACTGATAAAAGCAGTGTGTTTCGTCTTTGTCTGAGATTCCTCAGAAATACTTGAGTACCATCTAATCTATTCTAAACGGTGTCAAACATTCACATCACAAAGTTGAAATAGTTCTTCACTGTTTTAAACAAGGGTTGTGCATCTGATGGAAATCAATGTTACACCTAGTCTCAGCCAGTTAATAACATCAATCGAATAAAATATTGAAAAGATTCAACACTGTACTTTTTTTTACAGTAGTAAATCAAGAGACGAGACGTCAGATGTTGGAAAGTTTAGCATTTTACATTTTATTATCGGGATTCGTCAGTCAAGTCACTGAATGGTTCAATACACAACTGCGGAGTAAAACAACTTTTATACACCTATTTCGAGCCTTTTCCTCAGCTGCAAACAGTAAGAAATAAATAGAGAATTTGAATGGGATAAATTAGAACAACATACTGTGTGAATTGTGTCAACGTGGACAGAGCAATTTTTAAATCATTTGCAAAATGGTCATCCTATTTTAGGTATTCCGGCCATGCAATTCAGCTAGCCAGCCAGTTCCGGGTGATCTGAACTAACTGGGCTCAACAAGCTGGATTTCTTTGGTTACACTAGTAAGAAGCCGGTTAGGCTGCAAACGAGCAAAATAGCCTTCTAGTGTGTTTAGATCGCTCTGATATGGCTAACTGGCTAGTGAAATACAGGAGATCAGGCTGAGTGAGTAGTTTCTAAATTCTTAGTTTCTTGTTTCATAATCATAGAGAGAAAAAATTTGCAAAATAATTGAACCCTGGTGTTTGACATTTTATGATTAGGATTTGTCAGTCAAGTCACTGAATGGTTCAGTATACTACTGCCAAAAATAAAACCGTTTCTCTATGAAAATGGTGGACCAGTGATAATGATCCAGGTGAGATTATTCACGAATTCCGTATATAAGTTATTGTTATAAATAGCTTCTACTAATTCCAAATACTGGCTGTACATTGATTAGTACATGAGATCAACCAATTTCATGTTACCCAGTTCTGCATGCTGGCTGAATTCTGTTGATCATTCTTGGAATGATGCTGCCAGTATTGTAGTGCACACTGATAGATGTTAGTCGGTTGGAGGCAATCGGCAGGAAGTCTAGGCACCTAGGTTTCGTGCTTGTTGGCACTCATCAGCAAAGTTGTATTGATGATGTTTGTACTATGTCATGAATTGACAGTGATGCAGAGATACTGACTGTCGAATTCTGGGTCAGAATCTGAATGGTCAACTTAGTGGCCTTGAGTCCAATCCTTCGTAATTCCATAGGCTTACACTGCTGAGGAGTCCTGCAGTAGGACGAAATATCTGTTCAGTGTTTCTCGAAACGATGTCACTGTGTGGAAACGAGAAAATGCTACCTTGAAATTAGTCAATCATACTATAAACCACCAATCGAATTTAATTTTTCGTTCACTAAACTTCAGTGTTCTTCATATAGTTTGGAATGGATTCATTCTAATCTAAGTTCATCAGTTGTAACAGTAATCATAAAAAATTTCATAAGTGAATCAAAAAGCTAGTCCAAAAATGAACCAATTAAAATGTACTTTGTTTCAGTTATGTTTATAGTTAGACTGACAGGCAATCGATCAACCAATCAACATTATTATTTTAAAGGCCTGATCATGTATATAAATGTTTTGATATCCTCTCATTTGTTACTGACATCAGGTCTTCCGTCTAAACACGTTCCAACATGTTCCACTGTCTTCTTCACTAATAAGTCTGGTTGGGAATCAATTAGGAATTTGTAGAACGTAACGTTGGTGGCTGACACTAAATAAGAAAATGGTTCGATGAATTAATTAGAAAATAGAAATTTACTGTTGATATGTGAAATCGTCTAGGATTTGTTTTTTCAGCAAAATATATGGCAGTGAAAAAATGCACATTTTACCAATCATTATTCTCTGCAATCAAAATGAAATCTAGCAAACAGCCTCAGTTACATGCTCATAGCCACATGTCTGCTGGATCCCACTGCAAGAGTACTGGTAAGGACAACGTAGATTGCTTTAAATTTGTTTGGTAGTTGTAATTGTCTTGAGGACGTGATTCTGCCGATTCAGTCTTAACGTCGACCTCAAATCGACTTGCCCAGACTCGTTTGCTCAATCCACCCACACAATCACTCATGCAATTTGGCCTGTCTGTATACATTCCAATCGATTTAATTCAACTAAATTATCTGACTACAATGCACCATAATTTATGAAGTTGAAACAATTTCAAACAAAAAATTAGAAAGGTGCACTATAATTGACTGATTTCACTCAACACGCAGTTATTATTTCTAAAATGCTATTAGTTATACGTAAATGGATAAGGTGTCAGTAGATAAGATATATCGATGAGGAATGTGATAGTAAAAGAAAAGAAGAAAACAGGAGTGGCCTTTAGTTTATTGGAGACCAAAGGGAGAATAACATCTGAGCATATTCCTTTTAGATTCACAGTTCAGGTTTGATCAGTCTTAATGCAACAGTCTCAGCTGTGTTGAGCTGTAGCTGGCGGGCTACACAAGATGTATGAAACTAAATACTGTCACTACCAATAAAGTCAAAGAAGGAAAAGTCAGGCAAACAAAACTAACGTAGAGCCTTGCATACGTCTCCGTCAGTTCAAGTTACTACACTCCGCAATAGTATCCGAAGAACAAGTAGATCGAAAATGGACAATATCAAAGTAACAAAGGTGTATGGGAGGAAAGGAATTAAAAAAGCAAGGTTTGTTACAACACTGAGGCTTTAGAAAGTGTCGAAAGGTGAATACATCTGCGCTATTGTGACTGGTTCTCAGCCATTTCACCATCACTCTGTAATTACTGTTTACTATCTACTCTGGGACTCCAACTAAGTAGCCAGAAACAACCCCATTAGTGTTGATGTGACTCCCCAAGTAAGTAAAGTGGTCAGCGCATCCCACCACCTCAGTCTTTATCACTGAACCAGGAGTAGTTACAGATAATTTCTTACGTCATCCTACATTTGAAAGGTGCGAAATGCATGCAAAACACACACAGATTTCTGCTTAACGCGTTCAGAAGACCCTGTGTTTTGTCAGTATCTTCACGTAGCAGGAAGATGTCATCTACGTACTACAAGTCAGCCAGATGACCTCCGGAGAGTAGACCAACATGTGTTAAGTCAAAGACACCTAAGATTATGTCTATTCGTATGTCCATGATGAAGTTAAATAGAAACGGGGACAGTGGATATTGTCAGTTTCGATGACAACTCTCCATAAACCCTTAAATGGCTGCCTGAGTTCGAGTAGAGAACTATGATAAGCATTATATACTTGCTCGGTACTCTCTTCCCGGCCAGACACTACCACTACACCTCACAATGGACAGAGTCAAATACCGCCTTTAGATCAAGAAGTGTGTCACTTGCTGGCTTCCTGCAATTAGGCTGTGTTCTGGAACTTGTCGAAAAGTGAAGATTTGATCGATGCACCATCGTTCAGATCTGAAAACATCCTGGTTCTCTTGAGTTGATTGTTTCGGAGCTCCAGTTTGACATTGCATAACTGTGAACCTCGGGATCTTGGATACAATATTCCCATATGGTTGTCACAAGAAGACTTCTTTCCCGTCTTATAGACTGGAATGATCAGTGAGATAGACCATACACTACCTATTACATCCAATACTCTACTCATTAATTTCTTACCTCCCTATCTAAAAGCGTCAAGTGACAAAGTAGGTGAAATAGTCAACCTTCAATCACAGAGATGATGCCTAACCAACTTAATATGAGTGACATCTAGACACATCTGTTTTATAAACACTGCTTATATCGACACGATACTACTATTCTGTTGAAAGTAGTCACAGAAACAGATATGAAAATGAGCACTTGAAAAAGATATATATATATATATATATATATATATATATATATATATATATATATATATATATACTTGTAGTCATTATTTCACGACTACCTGTTTGTTTTTTCTAGATCGAAGAAAACTATGGCTGGTATTCTGGATTCAATCTAGAGTATTTTAAATTATTGAAAGACCAGGCTAGAACACATTTGGGTGACTCGGTAATATTAACAACAGCAGATGAATATGGTGCAGTCATGAATGAAGAAGACAGTCTACCCTACGATGGAATACTTATGACATACTCTGAAGACTGGAGATTTTTAAGTGAGTTGAAATAAAGCAGCTGATTGACTCCAAGACAGTTTGTATAGCGAACTGACATCAGCTGGAAACTTACTGAGAACTCGGGTGAGACTCTTCAGTTGTGCGTATTCATAACCCACGGTGAGACGAGGTGGTGACTGTCAGGTTTAGAGGCCAGCACACTGTTACTCAGCTTTGTCCGCTTAACTTTAATTAAGAGCCCCATAAGTGGGCAAAACGGCTGTCCTATGCTTCCAGGTATTCAACAGCTATTCAAGTAGTGTCATTTCAGCACCAAAATGTTATACCTCCTCCAATTTTTTGTCCAAGAAACATTGTTCACAAAACTCGTGCAGTAACACATAACCATGATAAGCGTGAAGATTGTTTAGTGTCCACTGAGCACTAAAAATATACATTCATAAATATTCTATCACTAGGTTAGTTGATCTCATCACCGTGGACTTCAATTTCTGACAAAGTTAACTAGTCTGTCAATGGTACACTCATCTATAAATGCCAAAGATGAAATTATGCACAACAGAAAACTTATAGCATCAAATAGGCTTACGCAATTCAGTCAAGATAACAATTCAACAATTATCATCATCAGTAGAACGGTCCTTCGAATGGAGAAAAATTAGCTTATCATGAAATTTGTGCTTTAGTGAATTGATCGATTTCAAAGAAAACGGATTTTCCAAGTACCTTTTCAGTGTAAGCCTAACTTTCAGAATTCACCAGTAGACCAAGAATATAACTGGGTGTTTATCTGTGGTGATAAATGATAATCGAATTAAGTTATAACATGAGAACAACTTTAAAGAATAAATTTTCTCTTGGCTATATTATAATCTTCATAAGCGATTGTACAATTTGTACTGATGAAATCACTTTGTTCATGGGGTATCAACTGGTTGTAACTGACATTAGTTGGCGAACTATTTAACATCTGACACCTCTGGACAGCTGTTACATCGTGGTATGGAACTCACTCAGCAATGTTTCACACTTTCCTGCTTCTGGGAATTCATGATAGAGCGAAACCATCATCTAATGTCATTGGTCAGTATTTGTCCTCATGTCAGAATTCATTCGCCCAACCTGTCACGACTTATTAAAACTTCAAGAGGTCTCATTATGAAGTATATCACTGATGGGACTAGAGATTATTTCAGTTGTTTGGCTTGTGGGTCCTGGGTTGGATCTCTAGTGAGGTCGTGGATGTGCACTACTGAAAGTATTTTGAGATGATTGAGGATTTTGATGATGTTGTGTATTCTCTGAACTGCATTGCTTAATCATGGAGGTCTCGTTGTCATCCTAGACAACATCATCAGCAAAAACTTCAAAAGTTTGGAGATGAGAACACTGTCATCCAATTAAATCCTGAAATATTTTCAAGTCCATAGCTATACTGAGAAGATTTCAAATACACTCAGATGCTGAACTTTTGAATAGACAACATTTCTGTCCAAGGTGTACTCATCTAGGATGCTCAGGAAAGTTTTCTTACGACCAGAAATAAAAAGGAAAGAAAATTAAATTTGACCATTCGGTAAATTAAACACGAGTCAGTACACTGGAGTTGATAGATGTAGAACATGAACTATGATTGTATCCCTATGTTTGCGGAACACCTAGAGAGTAGGTAATCGGGTTGTTGAGTTCATCGATCCATTTATTCAGGTAGAAATAGTCCTGCGTATGGTTAAACTTAACATGAATCATCTCGGTTCATGTAGTAATGAATCCGTCTCAATATAAATAGCTCGTTTCCTAAACACCAAGGTGAGATAAACTCATCACACTTTTCTTATACTTAATGATCATGTTGAGTTACCAAAAAAACATTCCCTTCATATACCAATCAGTGGAATTTAACCGCCAAGTGTCGGGAGACCATATATCATAACGTATTTGTTGCAATCTACACACCTTATAACGCAGAACTATTCTTACCGATCACTTTTCACTGTTGATCGAATCCTATGGATCATTTTGTTGTAATACGATCACTATACTAAGAGGCTTACCATGGCATTTTACTTTGAAAGATACAGCTTAGTTGGTTGGAAGCTATTGACAGGAAGCTTTGTATGACCTAGCTTTCGTCTTTCTTGGTAGTCGTCAGTCACCAAAAGGTAATGATATCTTCCGAACTTTGAACCAATCCATCTTCCTCTTCTGCTTCCGCTAGTATACCCACTATAGGGTTTCTTTTCCTAAACCCTTAACTAAAAAAAAGTCATAAGCAGTATTTTTAATTTATTACCTGCTCTTCTAATCTCATAGTTTATACACTCATACGTGGGAAATCGGAAAGTTAGCGTTTATAAATGAACAAATGTAGCAATTAGGCTGGAAAAGTAAGTGAAATGTACCGGTTAGCTAGGAAGCTACCGGTCACATTCAACCGGTATATTAGGCAACAAATAACAATGAAATAGTGGCTGATTGAGCGAAGAAATACCATATTCCCTTTCAATTAGATCTCTGTCTTTGGCTGTATATAGGTTGACAAATAGTATCTAAATACCAATCAATTGGTGGGGGAGTGGGGATCAACTCATAGTGTTAGCCAAATCATCAGACAGTGTATCAAAAAAATCCTGCTACAAGCATTTCTAGGTACAAGAAAGAAGGACTGACTGCCCAGTTCTGCCACTTCCATGTGCTCCTGTGGAGCTAGGCGTAGAATGAGGCAGTTCCACCGTCCAATTTCTAACCATCATCCATCATGGCTGAATAATAGATAGATTTGAACAACAAAGAGCTTCATACTTTCACACTCACTTACATAATTTATTTATCATGTACCAATTAATTTACTACATGAACTACGTATTCATCTACTTCACAAAACAGAAGCGATTCCAATCACCTTTGCAAACCTAACCGTTGTATTCTATGAAGACTTGTCCAACCATTTGCATTACGATGGACATCGCAACGTGATATAACTTCTAGTATTACTTTGTACTCCAATTTTCCCCATCTCGTACTCGATCAATATTCCTTTGTTTTCTTATTCTTATACAGTATCCTGATTATTAAAATTTATTGTCCTGATAACTTAAAGAATGTCTACGATTATCGTTCATCAAACCTCCACTACCACTTGATTGGTATTATGATATTACAGGTTGGTATCCGTCTTGGAGTCTCATCAACTAGAGATACACTGGAAACTGGGAGCAATGGACGGCTGTTTCTTTACAGTATGGGACTCCTCAGCAGTGGGCGCCTGTGACCCCGCTCTGCTAGAGGTCAAACCCAGAACCTTCAGGTTCCTTGGCCAACCACGTTACTATTGAGCCACTGGGTTACAACACAGTGGTCCGTATTTACAACTTCTGCAAGTTCACTGCATAACGCGACCATCATTCAATATCATCGTTGAGTGTTTGCCCTCATGGTCATCAGGTTTTCCCCACTGGTCACAACTTCTCATTGAAACTTTGAGAATCACTTCTAGAAGCTAGTTACCAATGATCACTAGATCAGAAGTTGGAAATATGGACCATTGGATTCCGACCAGTGACCCAACGGTAACGTGCTGCCCACGGAACCTGAAGGTCGTGGGTTCAGTCCATGGAGGGCGGGGTCATGGGTGCGCACTGCTGAGGAGTCCCATATTAGGATGAAACAGCTGCCCAGCGCTCCAAGACTTTGGATGTTCCTTCAACTTATGTCAGTCTATGATGAATACCAACTTGAAAAAATCTCTAATCCCTCACAAACTCCCAAATTCAATCCCAGGTTTATTTCCCCTGGCTTTGTCCATGTATCTTTTTATAAAACTGTTAGGGTAGCCCATTTCAACCAATGAGTTAAGAATATATTCTAACTTCTTCAGCACTAGATCATCCAAACATATTCTTGTCGCTCTGTTAGTGAAGCACCTGGTCAGATTTGGTTTGTATAGAATGGGTACATGGCTAAGAAAATGTGTGCACTGACTTATAGACGTAGTCTTCTTGTAAACACATTAGCTGAGTAATCGTCTTCTCTTCTGCTTAGCAAGACATCCAAGAAGTGTAGTTTACTCGGATTTTCTTCTCTACAAGTGACTGGCTTGATTTTTATGTATATTAAGCTATTAGAGTATTATAGTAAGGCCTGAAGAGGATCTAAATGAAAACAATATTGTTCTCTGATATATCTTGTTCACCTTTCTAATGAACAGATTAAAATGGAATTACAATCTACCGCATTTCTCAAGTTGTACTCCTGTAGTAATTGAATTCACTTATTGATTTTAACTTGCATTCATCATGGAATGATAAAGGTGGAGAAACATTCGAAACCTAGAAGTACTGGACAGTGGTTGTTTCATCCTAATATGGAATTCTTACCAGTGTACAGCCGGAGATGAAGACTTAATTGGAAAGGAATATATTTCCTTCTTTTTTCTAAATGTTACACATTTAGTTCCCTTGACAGTTTGAACAATGCAAGAACAAAGACATATGCAGAATAATATGAGCTTATTTCATATCATAACCTTTTATGAGTTGCAAACAGCTACAGTTGAAGTGAAGTATTAGTAGTGGTGGTAATAATGACGTAACATACTTTAAATATGTAGAAACAAATAAAGTGTCGAGCAAGTATAGTGTTATAAATCACAAATCTAACTTAGAATGAATGGGAATTTATACACATCTTATGAGACAGAATATGCTGGTGTTGTGGAAATAGGGGCTAGAAAAGAGACAGGCGTGTAAAGGAAAGAGGATTGTGAAAGAGCTTGTATGTTAGGTAAGCATGTGGGAAAACTAAGCAACTTTTAGGCTGTGACAAACATTACAATAGAGTGTGCTCAATAACATAGTCGTAAGTAGACAAACAGCTATCTCACGTCACTTCTAACTGTGTATACCATTTCACATGTGCTTGTGGAAGTAAGTACTTAGGAAAGATTGAAAGAATGACGTCTACTGAACTCTATGAGCATATAGTGGGCAATCTGTATCCGACAGTTAGTTCATTTATCGCTCATTTTTATTTCACTGTAC